TTAGCTGCTCTGAATCTTATCTGAAGGTGAGGCCCAAGGTGTGGTACACAAAGCAGGGAAGGGAATGCCTTTCTTGCTCGAGGGCCTCAACCCTTAGGCGTGTGTAAAGCTTGTAACAGAAGGGGCAGATGCAGACCACTGACATGTGGAAAGCATTTAAGTGCTGCATAAAGGACAGAAGGTGAGGAGGGAGGGAGGGAGTTGAAACACCAAATATGAAACAGAACCCTGGAAGAGCTGCTGTGGGTTGCCAAAGGTGCTACCTAAAGAGTTGACTAGGCATTGACGTCCATCTTCTGGAGGAGGCTGACTACTCAGATCTCAACTAGAGAGTCATCTCTCTGATCAGCTGCATTAGGAAATACTTCAGTGCCTCAGCCACTATCTTCTCTCCTCTTTCTGGTGTTTTAATCTTGATTAGTTTAGATGGCTACTCAGTTACCCAAACGCTGTGTGCAGAGCTTGGGGCAGAAAATGTCAGGGGCAGCAGGCTGCATGCTTTGCAACAGGAACAGAGTATTTCCAGCAAGCCTCATCATTGTCTGCTGATTACTGTCCCATCCACATTGCACCACATCTCCAAATTGAGTTCTAGCTGTTACCAAGCAGGGTTTCTGCTAATCACACAGTTATAATTAGCACCTCACGGCAAGAGTATATGCTCCTCTTTGGGGGTTCAAGTAGCCCGCAGTCATCTTCCAGGAACCGAATCGGAGTTCTGGGTTTTTGCAGTGTATTCCTCACGCATCCTTGTGTGCAAGTTCAACGACGCCTCCTTCCTCACAGGTCTGCGTGTGGCAGGACAGCCCCGAACGCTGAGCGGCTGCCTTCTGCCTCGCCTGGGCAAAGAGGTGGCAGGAGAGGTGGCCACGCTAAAAAGCACCAACAACAGACAGCAGCAAGGCTCATGCAGTTTGTGTACCTACACGTTCCAGCAGAGAAACTAGTTATTGGTTAAATTATAAGATGATACGCAGTTACAAAAAGAAATATCAAAGAAAGTCTGAAAGAAATGTCTTTTGACAACTGAAAATAGCATTGCTACCTTTTTAGTTTTTTGTAATTAGCAGGGGAGGAGGGCAGGCAAAGTAGGGGGGTTTAGATTCATGGCCAAATTCCCCTGTTTGCCAGCAGGATAGCAATAACAGTATTAGAACTTGTGTTTTGCACGACATATGTCTCAGGTTCTAATAAATACATAATAACTTATCTCCTAAACCAGTAAAAAAACCACCACAGGCAAGTACTAACTACAAGTAATTTTGTTCCATTTAATTCTCTCCCAAAAATGTATCACGAAGTTCATGAGCTTATCTTGCTGACATGAAACTTGTCAACTCCCCTTCGAGCTGCCTCCAGCCCTATAGCTTTGAAGCTTGCTGGGGCTGTGGGGCAGAGAGCCCAGCAGATTTCTCAAGGAAATCTTGGGTATGTGTGTGTGGGGGCAGCGTGCAGTGATTGCGGGCTCACTGTAGCTTTCTGCAACCGTTTCCAATGTCACAGTGACCTGCAGTTATTTGGGAAGGAAGTTTCCAGCTGCAAGTATCTTTAATTTGCAACTCTTATCTACTCACTGAAAGAAGCCTGCTGGGATTGGTATGCATCCCTATTAAAAGTTGTGTGAACGCTTCTTTTATATTTTTAAATACTGAGTTTACATGACACTTCTGATCTCGCCATGATTACATAGACATTCTAGTTAGCTTTGCCTTTCACAGCTAATGAGTGTTTCTAAAACAATTTTTATACTTAAGCAGTGGGATGCGTAGAGTGGAACTAGAGATGAGTCAGCAGTTAGGTAAGGTTATTTGAATAGCAGGATGAACCATGCCTGCCACGGGGAAATTCTCTGCAAAGGTCACACCAAGTGCTTCGTACTGAGATGCTGCCACCCTGGCGATGTGAATTCTGTTAAGTATCTCACAGTTTTCAGACTGAGCATCATTCTTTTTGACATTTGGACGTGGTGATATTAAATCCCCGCTGCTCGGTATCTGGATGACAGGGAAGAATGCTTGACATCCTTGGTACTATTCACAGCGAGGCAGTGCCTGCCAGATTGACAGATGCTGCTCTCCCCCCGCCCAGGGGAGTTAGGCACTAAAATTAGTAACTATTAGAACAAGCGTACTGAGGGAGGATCTGCTCAATCTCATCCACGAGAAACACTGGAGAGAAAGAAAGGAGTCACCACTGCTGTTTCTATGGGAGTCAGGGCTGTAATTCACGAGCAGGGACAGCGCAGCTGACAAAATGACTGTCCCCCTACAGAGACAGCGGGGTGGCTCAAGGACGTGGCTCCCCCACGGCAAAGCAGAGCCAGGGAGGTGACAACCTTTACAAGTTATTACCTACACTGACGTGGAGCGTGTGTTGGGGGGCATTAGGCCAGGTACAGGGTGTGTGAGAGAGTTCCCTGGTGAGACACTGCTTCTCACCCACAGTCCTGCAGAGCAAACAGTTCATAAGCTAAAGCCCATTCAGGGTTCAGCTCTGTTGCCTCTGCAACCCCAGAAAACAAGCACGCCAGCTCCATTTGTGAATTACAGCTTTAGGGAACTTCACCTTGAAGAGCAGGAAAGAGTCTTTCTTCAGGTAGAACTGATCTCTTTAATCCGTTCTGCTGGGATCATTCCCTCGGCTCCTTCATTTGCCGAAAAAAGGAAAAAAAAAAAAGGAAGAAACAGCAGCACAATAACACACACAGCTGCTTGTGATGGTTCCACCCTCCCTTATTCAATTGTTCAGCAGTTTAACATTCAGCCTGAATGTTGCAGACCTACTTTTAATTCTCTCTTCTAGCTGAGAGGATTCAAGGCCACATTGTTCCAGCCCTCCACTCAAGTGACCTAGCTACAAAACAACTGAATTAATAAAAAAAAAAAAAAAAAAAAAAAAGGAGAAAGACATCCCACCATAAATGCATTCGTGTTCTGCTGACCCACTTCAGTAAGAACACTTGGAGACTCTGAGTGGCTTCTCACTGAGACTGGGAACTGCGGTTCTCTGTGAAACCAGCGTCACTGGCTGCAGACAGACACAGGCTTTAAAGCACCCTCTGCAGCAGAGGGGAGCGGGGCTGGGTTTACAACTTCTGTGCAAGAGAAATCTCAGGCCTCTGAATCACCCACCAAAAGTCCGCTTTTATCAGTCTCCCTGACATGTTTGTATCAGAGCTTTAAATGCCGTTAGACTCCAGAGGGGAAAACAAAGATGCCCCCCAAAGGGAAGGCAAAGAACAATAGCATTAGTGAATTACAGTTGGCCATCACAAGAGCGAATGGCGTATCCTATAGGGGTTGCTATACAGCGACACAGCCCCGGCCCCTCAGCAACAACTGGGGTTTAACAATTGGCATTTATTGCTACAGATAAACACCAGCTGCCTCACTCCACAGGTTAGTTTATATCACCGGTTGTAGCCTTGCATATGTAAACAAAGTTATGCAAAGATATACATTTGAATTTTGGGTAGTTTTTCAAAGCTGATCTTAACAACAGGAGCCCTTACTGAGACTCTGAGAAATGCACAAGCAGTGAGTTACACTGGTTTGAGTTACAAAAGTGGCCTTAAATCCTTTTGAAAACCAGTCTTTTTGGAACATAACACCACACATGTGTTTGTACATACATAACTGTAACAACGGCTTGCAGATACCTCTTATTCACTTTCTTTTATAACAAATTAATTCAATTAAAGAGCCAAAAATTCAGTGCATGCCAAAGCTGCACTTTGAGCAATCCTGACAGCATTAGTCCTTGTTGCGGTAGGAGCAGAGCTTCTGTGGGGACTGCCCGTATTTTCTTCTGTATGCTGCACCAAACAAGCTCTTCGGGACTCAAAACAATAAAAACTTGTGTTGTGAGCCATTTGCCCTTCAGCTCAGCGCTAGGAGCTGTAATGCCACCTACTGATGGCTCTGGAGAGCGGCCTCAAGTTCTCAGCCCGCGTCCTTCAAAGGAAAGCCCGGTGGCCGCCGCGGACATGCCTGTGGTAGGGAGGGAAGGAGGGAGGCTGTCCCCAGATGGGGGCTGGTGAGGACCTGGCCAACCTCGCCTCCTTCAGACACCGCAAAACTGGTTTCACTGATAGTTTACACAAGCTCGTTTTCGAGTTTGTTATCCCTACCCCCTCTAAATGTAAATATTTTCATCAAAAAGGCAGCAACTGAGAGAATACTCATTTTCGATGCATTTGGATTTCTGTCTTCTCTGAAAGCGTTTTGAACCCTTTTCCCTCTGTTTTTCAGCATCTTCCATACTTCTCTTACAGTCCTGCTGTTACCATCCTGTGCTCCCTTATGTGTCTGGGCAGGCCCCATTCTTTTGCAAACCTAACTGGGACTCAAGTAGAGCAGAAGCTTCAGAGCTTTCTCTTACAGGTACCAGTGAATGATTTTTGGGGCATTGTTCTTTTCAAAAGATACAGTCCTAACAGGTTGTTCATGAAAGAACAGTATATTTCTAAACCAGATAATCACTGTCCTCTAAGGCAAATAATTAGAAGTTCAGTTCGCAATAGCAGCCTACCAGGAAACAGCAAAACTCTCTCAGCCCAATGACATTTCTTCATTTTGTAACCCGAATACTTAAGGGATAACAATGTAATTCCTAGAAGTGACAGAAGCAACTCCCATCACCCTTTCTCTCAAGGCCAAAAAGCCAGAACCACAAGTATTCAGACTATGGCAAAGTGGCTTCAGAGGACTGTAGCAAATCTGCTGTGCCTTCCATACCGCAAGAATGAGAGGATATAATTAGGAGAAAAGGAACAAAAAGGAATGCCTCCTTCTCACACACCCAAAGTACCACTCTCAGCAGAAGCTCTTAAAAATATACTGTATATTGTTTCATTAGGAAAGCAAGAAAAACATTTTCAGAAAGAAAACAAAAAGGACAAAGACAGCACACCTTCCTTCTTCATCCAGCCCCATCCTCACTGAGCTTTGAAAAAAGATGGGAAGAGGAAAGAAAGAAAAAAATACGTGGTTGCAATGAACTGGAATGAATTCTGTATTGTCAGTCCTGCAGATGTGGTAAGAAGCATCACTCAACCATTCTAATCACAAATGGTATTTTTTTAAAGAAAACACTAGGATTTAGCATCTGAGTTTTTAAAAAGCAGTGTTAACGCTGTACTCGGAGTCAAGAAACGGAGGCGCTAAGGTGGTAAAATACCCCCTCAATTACATCCATAAGACTTAAAATTTTTAATGTGCAAGTCTAGGACAGAAATAATTAATTTACAATGCACTAAAATTTGAAGGATGGGATCTTCTTAATTGTATGTGCTCACAGTAGTAAGCGAAGTACTCAGTTGCTGAAGTACAAAAATCAGTATGCTTAAGTGACTTACGCTTCATTTTTAAGGCAAAAATAGGTAACAACAGAACTGCATACAGCTGCAAAAATATTTACAGATATGATTAAACAGGTCACTTCTAGCATGAAAATTTTAATGACATGAGTAATATAGCAGAGTTTTACTTGAAAAATACCATTAAAAATGTAAAAATCTGGCTAGGATGAGGAATGCTGACATTTTTACCTGGGCCTCCACACTCACAGATCTTTGTCCCTAAACCTCTATCACTGTACGCTGTCCTCCCTCCCTGCCTGTTCCCAGTCTTATTACACAGGTGCAGGGGTGCCTGAGCAGCCCCAGAATCCACAGGTGAAAAAGCTGGAATGTTAAAAACGTATGTAAAAGGTCCCAACAAGAAACAAAAAAGAAAAAAACAGATCATGAGAAATAAAATTACTGAGGGGGTGGAAAAAGCGCTATCTGCAGGTATCCAGGGATTAGCTCTTATATGGTCTCTTGGCTGGGTCTGTAGGTCTCATAGCTTTCCAGCAGCGAAGGGGTTTGTCCCCACTCACAGGTTAACTGGTCTCCTATGTTACAATACAGACACTGGGGAAACCTGAACTTGGGAGGTCATCGTCGGTTAGACTCAGATAGCCTTGGAAATTCTTCCTCAGTAACATGTCTCCCTGAGTAGGTATCTTTACATTCAGTGTCCTGTCCCTCTGCCTGACCAGAGAGCACAGCACCCACACAGTGTGACAAGGAACAACACAGCTACAGCCCACGCTTCAGCTGGCTGTTCAGAAATTAGGAGGATCAGTACCGAAGACTCTGAAGTGGACAATTTCCTCTCCAGGAGGATGCCAGATCCTTTTTTTATGTAACTCATATTTATGATTTTAAAGTCACTACTTCAAATCTGATTTCCAGCAAGAAAAACACAGCTGCTTGGCTGCTGGTTACAGAGTATAACTAACATAGCAGCACCTGGAATTTACTGAGAAGGCAGGATCAGGAAAAGAATGGTTTGGGGACCCAGTATTCCTAACAGAAGAAAACTGATTCTCTGAATCTTATGCCATTTAGATATTCAAAGGGAAAAAAATAATCAAGATAGTCTAACATCTGTCCTTAGCACAAGCTGCTTCCATATCCACACACAATATTGAATTGCATAGATGTGACAAGACCAGTGCCAGTGTAACGGTTCTTTGGTTTACCGTTACCTAGCGACACTTCAACAAGACCCTGTTTCCTAGATATCCACATTGTTCTCTTTGTCACATGGGCAGTGTAGGTGACAACTTCCATACATGCTTGTAAACTACATTCTAAAAAAAAAAATTAAAATCAGCTGTTGCTGGAACCTCGCAGGCATCCCATGAAGAAACACCTCCACAACTACACCAGAGAGCACTGAGAGGTTAAAAACAAAGTTTTGAGAAAAGCAGCAGATGCGGCAGTCCGAAGTAGTATAGCAAAGAACATAGCCCAGGTAGGAGAGAAAGAAAAATTGAAACTTAGTTTCAGTTAGCAGATTAAAACACTGAGAACTCATTTTAATTAAGCCCAGCAATGGAAGAAACCACCGAAGAATAAAAAAAAAAAA